AAATTACAACTCTCCGAAATATATTTGGGGAACTCTAGAGATAGGAAGACACAAACAAGGTGGCTTACTCCATATTGAATATCTCTAAAAATTGTATTGATTCACATATTTACAAAGTATACTTTAGGGGTTAATTAATGAGATTGTTTCCTATAAATTAAAGTTAGCAATCATTGGATGCTTATGTTCTTTCTTCTGGCCAAATACTAGTACCCACCATTATTGAACTCTTCCACATCTGAATTCCTTCTTACCCCGAAGTATTTAAATATTTCCTTTTGTTACCTTTAGATACCCTTGGGTATTACCTTTATACTTTGCTACATCTATAGGAATATTTTAAATTTTGCTTTATAAAAAGGATATTTTTTAGTAGTCAGTATTTCTGTCAATATCAGGAATAACCAGGGAGTGTCACTGTTCTAACACAAACAAATACTCACTGGTTTGTTGCCCAATAATGTTCAACAATATTCTTGCATAAACCTTTACAACTTGTAATTATGAAGAATACAGCAGTGGGCTGGATAAATCAAGATTATTCCACCCACCTCCATTAGCTATTATGGATTTGAACATATTTGTGATGCCTTTTTTTCTTCCACTAGTCTTCAGTTTAGCAAAAAGAAAATTTATTTTTCATTCCCTTCAAAATAAAAGACTGGTAATTTTCCCCAAAATGCTGCTACCGCTCAGTTATTTTGATTATCATAGACAACTTTCTCATACACGCTGGTAAGAAATTATTCTGTCTTTATTTCAATCATTTATTAAATTAATTTTATTTTTTTAAATTTCACAACAATGCAACAAAGGACTCATTACTCATTGTGTAGCTCATGAAAAAGAGGCTGAGGTACATGAATTATTGGACTCAGGGTGATATAGTAAGTAACACTTCTGATATTATAAGCCAAGACTGACACCAGTCCTCCATTTTTTTCCACTAAAGCCCTCCTGCCCTCAAACTATACGTGCAACAGTGGGAAGCTTAGAAACTAGTTTCTCAATCCTTGAGCATGTTAGCATTTTAATGGACTCCATGGATAGCACCTTTGTCTCCCCTGTCTGAATTCTGAAACAATTGAGAAATAGAGACCTAGCGACCTAGAGGCCGACAGATGGATATCTAAAGGTCAGTTGTATAATTGATGAAAGCCAGAAGACTGGGACTTTGATGTGCGGCCAAATGAGCTTGTTTGTGTTAGAACAGTGACACTCCTTCTGAATCTGACACCTAGCCATCAATAGCTGGGAATCTCAAGGAAGCCCCATAGTGTCAATAAATTTGGTGCCAAGAGAGAGAGAGGAACGGACTAAAATGAAGAAGAAGAAATGACTGAAGCAAGCACTACTAGTTCCATTTTCTCACAAACTTTCAAATCACATAACTTATGTAAATTAAAAATTTCACAAGAGATGAGAGGTCAGAGTATACTCTACTGAAATATCTACGCATGGAAACTGGAAGCTGTGGAAAAAATTCTTTCCTGAAACAGATGTGTTTTTAGATCTACAATGCCATGCAAAGTCAAAATATATTTCCCTGATTATCTTATTTTCCCAGTCTCCAACAAAACTATTTCATATTTTATTCCCTCACTTCAAACTCTGTCTTCTAACACCTCCTCTCCAATCCTCACTTTGAGTTGATGATTTGACTTCCTATTTCACTCAGAAGATTAAAGTAACCTGAAGAAAACTTCCACAGCTCCCACCCACCTACTGGCATTTGAACTCATATATTCTGACTTCATTGTCTGATACTCAGATACACTAACTGCACTTCCAACTAAGGCCATCTCCTCTCCTTATGCAGCAGTTACCATCCTCTTACAGCCTTGGGACATCAGCCCACTAATTTCCCCATGCTCTCTCCTTACAGAATCAAACTCAGATTCTGCTCCTCCCACTCACCAACATGCAAGCCTGCTGTTTCAGTTCCTGAAAACACCACCCACGATTTAAAAAGCAACCTCTCTTGACTGTAGTTCTACCGGTGGCTTCTCAATTTGTGTGTTCTCATTTGCTCCAAAATCCCACAGAAGCCAGGTCAATAGTCACTATTTCTAATTCCTAACCTCGTAAATGAAAAAAACGGCCTTGATCAGTGATTTAAATAATTTTTAAAATGGTAGCATAGCCGAAACCAGTTTGGCTCAATGGATAGAGCGTCGGCTTGGGGACTGAAGGGTCCCAGGTTCGATTCCGGTCAAGGGCGTGTACCTTGGTTGCGGGCATATCCCCAGTAGGGGGTGTGCAAGAGGCAGCTGATTTATGACTCTCTCTCATCAATATTTCTATCTCTCTCCCTTCCTATCTATACAAAATCAATAAAATATTTTTTAAAAAATAAAAATAAAAAAATAAAATGGTAGCATACAGGCTGGATGAGAACTAAAATTAAAGCAAATTGTGTTTTTATTTAAATTAGAGCTACAATGACTCAGTTGGCCACTCTCTTAATATCATCTGACCTTCCTAAGAAATGATTGCCATCTGTAATAGTGTTTTGATGTCCTCTCTTATTCAATTGTTAAGATTAGGTTTTTAGAAACTTTTATAATTAATTTCTAATTTTACTGGATTGTTGTTACAAAATATGCTCAGAAACATCCTTATTTGGCTCCATAAAAGTTAAATCCTGTGGTTGTGTTTTTCTCTCAGCCTGGTGATGTACCCTGGTTTGTACTGACATTTTGAGTACTTGCTGTGAACTTGTGTTGCTATGAATGGTGTTGCTATTGTGGTCCAATCAACAACAAATACTCAGTCTTGAGTATTTGTTGTATAAGTGCTTAAAAGCCTGTGTGTTTATATGTTGTGTTCACATTTCTGTATAATATTTCATAATAGCAAACACACACACACACACACACACACACACATACTACTATCTTTGAGCTAAACAACCATCTACTCTTCTCTCCCCATCTCCAAAAAGTTTTCCCACCTAGAAGAAGAACTCTTGCCTTCTTATATTTCATAAAGTATTCTATTTATTTCCCACATGGCTCATATCATATTTTCCTTTAAACCTCCCAAAAAGTAACTTTTCTAAAAAAAAAATCTATCACTCAAAACTAATGCTTACATTTAATGTCATACCACACTATATTGCAGATATCATACCCATATCCATATCTATATTACAACTATGTGAATGGTCAGGTTATACTAGGTTGATAAGAAAATTATTATAACTTCAATTAAGTAAGTGGGAAAGTTAATATTTTAAAGAAAAAAGAGAGTTTAGATCACTCAGTTCAATCCCTTTAGATACAGAAAGAGAAATTAAGGAAGAGTGAACTTCCCAAGTTGGTCTGGACTCAGTATCATTCTGAACTGCTTCATTATTTCTTTGAAAAGAAAAAAACAAAACAAAGAAATAAACCAAAAAAATAACAATATTCCACACAAATTAGATTCTAATCAAGAAAATAATTGTAAATTCTGTTGTGTCTCAGCATTGATAGTATGTGATTTAGATTCAGTCAAGTTTATAAATCATCATTCCTTGAGTCAGTTAGTGGTTGCAAGCATCATTGAATAGTCACAGCATTTTAAAATAAGCAACTTCTGGCACTGGCTGTCCTCCCTTCCCTCGCCTCTTTCAAGATTATAAGTAGCTCTGATGATTTTGGTGTCCATATTGGCCAGTTTATTTAAGGGATTTAATAAGACTAATGTAAATTCTTCCACGATTCAGACTACAAATAATGTTTGCCTTACTCATGAAGCCTGTAAAAGGAGGGGTTCCCTATCAATAGCTAATTTAATATCTAATATTTAACAAGTAGTTTGGAGAGACTTTTACTTAAAAAAATTAGTGAAATATTTTAATTCACTTTTGTGTTTCTGAGGATGAAATCGTCAAATGTAAGTATCTTCTTTCAAAATTCTTTATTGAACTTTTTATAACTGTTTTTCATACACGATATGAAACATTTGGCTAGATACATATCCTGACACAGACTAGCATTTTGAAAGTGATACATAGAGAACATAGAATATAGAGTTTTTGCAATATAGAGCTGAAACTATGATAGTTGCTTTTCCCCAAAAAACACTTCACTTTAGGCTCTTCACTTCCTCACTGGTTTCCTTCTGCCAACCAACTGAAAATATTGGCTAAGCATCTATCTTGCCCTCCTGTACTTTTTTCTTCCTATCCTTCTCTTCCAAGAGCCTCTTCTTGTATAGGTTAAGTCCTGACCTCTGTGTGAACAACATCTCAATTATGTCTCTCTTACCTCTCTCTCAGGCTCCTGATAGATTACAAATTACAGAATGATTATTTATATAAATTATAACATGTACGGAATTGCTCCAAACTTACCCCATAATTATGTTTGGAACAGCCTATGGTGCCTCACACCAGCCTAAATTTTCAACTGACTTGGTAAATGTAAAACGTTTGTCATGTTCAGGTGTTTGAAAAATTAGCACAAACTACTTTAAAAAAAAATTTATCTCTCCCCTTTCTACACTCTTCAGCCAACTGTAGAATCCTGATGTTTCTTATGTAATATTGCTTATATTTTACTTTCTACTGCCACAACCTTAATTGGAGCTTCCACTTAACATTAGGAATTCCTGGATGATCTATGAGGATGTATCCTATGACTTTTTCATAATTTTCTACATATGATTGTCAGATACAGCTTTTAAAGTTGGGTGGGCAGGATATTAAAAGACCGAGTTACTCACCCTGGGAAAATGTAATTGGAAAATGTAGCCATTCTAAGCTCTTTCAAAGATGACAGCTAAATCAGCTTGCATAACAGCAAATAGAGCCTACCCACCTGCTTAGTTTCTAATGCAATTAACTGAAAGTTATGTCCTCCTACATACTTTTTCATAACTAATTTGATCTATGCCACATAACAGTTTTACAGCAATGATAGTCAACATGAAAAACTCTTTTTAATAATTTTCAGCTGTCTTTCTTTCTGGTCTACTGAGTTTCTAAGCAAATGTTCTTTTGTTCCCTCTCACAGGCCTGCGAAAGTACTCATATCATCATGGGCTTGAGAAGAGTGTGTGGGCTGCCAATGGCATATATAATGAAGGTGAGGATGGAGTTTCAGGCAATCCTGCCAACTTTGCTCTTCAGTGTAATGAATTAGCGATTTCAGAGTCTTTGTGGGCTGTGAAACTTTAACACGAATTTTCAGTATCATATTATTAATTATCAATGCAATTCACAATGCAGTTTGCAGAGCACATTCACATCTGTAATTTATTTCATTTCATCCTAAGCTTCTAGTGCAATTGCTTTGATTTACAAATGTCTAATATGAGCTTACATACAAAAACCTTTGCACCACTTGTTTTAAGAAATGTATTTCCATTAAAAGATAATAACTTAGTAATCTCATAGTAAGTATTAATAAATTAATCAGCAAAAGACCACTGTGCAAATCATTTAATATGCATTTTCCTGTAACTTTTGATATAAGATGTTTAATATAAATTTTATTAAGTAACTATTTAACTTATATAAATATGAATACAGACATATCTACACTAATAAAAGAGAAATATGCAATTGAATGTACCTCCATGATGCCCACCAGCCAATCAGGAGTGAGTATGCAAATTAACTCAACAAAGATGGCCTGTTAATTTGCGTACACAAGTGCTGAGCGAAGACTGAAAACTGTGGCAGGATTTATGACTGAAGACGACTGAAGACTGAAGAGGCTTGGCTTCTCCGCTGTGGCCAGAGCGAAGGCCTAGGTCCCGGGTGCTGGAGGGAAACTGGAGCCGGCAGCCAGAGGAAGGAAGGTCTATTGCATGAATCTTTATGCAACAGGCCTCTAAGTGTATATATAAAAGAGAAAAAATCCCCTAAAAGCCTTTAAAATTTAGTAAACACACATACAAATAATAATAATAATAATGATAAATCAGCACAATAGACAAAATCAGATAAATCCAAAATAGACTTAACAATCAACTACTTTTTGAAGTCCAGTCAATCAAGAGAAAAAGCCTATTGGTTAACAAATGATTGGTTATTGACTAATAATTACATTTTAAGAGTAAAAATAGATTAAATAATTCAGAAGGTAGATAGTTCAAGCAAGAGAACATGAAAACAAAGAAGTAAACATTGGCAATACTTATTAGAGAACTGTTGATGGAAGAATTAACTCTGGCCCAAGAGATCCCCTTGTCCCAACACCAAATTGAGACAAGTATATTGAGCTATCATAGCCTAAAGCTATTAATCTTTCAAATCATTACCTTGCCTTGGATTTAGACTTTACAGAATCTATTTTCCATTGCATGTGATGTGGAAGTGTGTGTTTTGTAGAATGCATGTGCTGAATATGTGCTATGACTGCTAGTCCTCAAAGTAGTACTTTTTTCCCTAACATAATAATAATTTTATCAGTTTTTTGTTGGTATTATTTTATTACAGGTTTATTGAGATAATATTGACATATAATATATGTAAGTTTTAAGGTATACAATGTGATGATCTATTCTATACGTATAACATGAAATATAGTACACATATGTATTCAATAAGGTTTTAGAATAAAGTTGGTTAACACCTCTATCCACTCACATAATTAGCTTTTTTAGTGATGATGACTTTTAAGATTTACTCTCTTAACAATTTTCAAGTATATAATACAGTCTTGTTGCTTTTTTTTATTATTATAGCCACCAGATTGTACATTAGGCCCCCAGAATGCTATTCATCTTATAGTTGGAAGTTTGTACCCTTTGACCAGCATCTCTCCATTTCCCACCACCACCACCACCACCAGTTCCTGGTACCATTATTTTACCCTGTTTCAACTGAGTTTGGTTTTTGTAGATTACACATATAAGAACAAAAAGAACTTGTCTTTCTCTCTCTGACTCCACTTAACATAATGCCCTCAAGGTCCATCTATGTTATCACAAATGGCAGGGTTTTCTTCTTGTTTGAAATTGAATAACATTATATTGTACACATTACTTTCTTTATCCCTTCATCTACTTGTTAACTTAAGTGTTTCCATGTCTTGGCTATTTTGAATAATGCTGCAATGAACACAGGGACCAAGTATCACTTTGATAATCTGTTTTTTATTTCATTTGGATATACACCCAAAAATAGGATTGCTGGATCATATGGTATTGCTACTATTTTTTTTTTTAATTGAGGAACCTTAATACTTTCTCTAATAGTAACTGCCAATTTACATTCCCATCAACAGCTCACAAGGGTTTTCTTTTCTCTAGTCTCCAACACTTTTTGTCTACTGTCTTTTTTTTTTCTTTATTGATTAAGTTGATACATATGTGATCTTAGCCCTTAATTGCTCCCTCACCCACTCATGTTCTCACCCACCTGGTGTCTGTGTCCATTGGTTAGGCTTATATGCATGCATACAAGTTCTTTGGTTGATCTCTTCCCGACTGTCCCCTACCTTCCCTCTGAGGTTTGAAGGTCTGATCAGTGCTTCTCTGTCTCTGAATCTGAGCAGGAGGCTTGGCTCCACTTCAGGCTACAAAGTTTCAATTGTATAAAGTAAATATATTCCAGGGCCTCCACTTGGGTTGCTGGGGGGTATGGCTGGCCTGCAAACCACCACAGGCCCCTTATTCAGGCTGCCACATGCCCCAAGGGAACCCCCACCCTGATTAGGTACACCCTTCAGGGCAAACTACCTGGCCCCCACCCGTGCACCAGGCCACTATCCTATCTAATAAAAGAGTAATATGCAGATTGACCATCACTCCAACACACAATATGGCTGCCCCCTTTTGGTCAAAGATCCTGCCCCTATATGGACACAAGATGGCCACCACAAGATGGCCAGCAGGGGAGAGCAGTTGGGGGGAAACAGACCTGCAAGAGAGGGCAGTTGTGGGTAATCAGGCAAGTAGGGGAGGGCAGTTAGGAGGCACAAGGCCTGCAAGGGAGGGCAGTTGAGAGGGACCAGGCCTGCAAGGGAGGGCAGTTGAAGGCAATCAACCCTGCAGGGGAGGGCAGTTAGGGTTGACCAGGCAGGCAGAGAAGGGATGTTGGGGCAAAGAGGCTGGCAGGGGAGGAGTTAAATATCAATCAGGCTGGCAAGGGAATGGTTAAGGGGTGATCAGGCAGGCAGGCAGAAGTGGTAAGAGGCAATAAGGAAGGCAGGCAGGTGAGCATTTGGGAGCCAGCAGTATTGGATTGTGAGAGGGATGTCCAACTGCCCATTTAGGCCCTATCCCAGTGGGACATCCCTCAAGGGTTCCCAGATTGGAGAGGGTACAGGCTGGTTGAGGGACAAACCCCACATCCCATCCCCATACCCAAATTTTGTGCACCAGGCCTCTAGCTCATAGATATTGGCTTGATCCTAAAAACTAGTAACACAAAAAAATTCTACCTACTGTAGAAATCATAATTAGACATATTTTAATTGCTAGGTGATTTAACCCCATCCACATTCAAGGCCAGATTGGATGACTCTAAAATTAGCACTCTTTTCACAACTCAGGCTATTTAAAAATATTATTGCATTAAATATCAGAGACCTATAACTAAGGTTCAGAGGAATAAAATGTATTCAGGCACACCCTTAGGAAATAACAGAGCATAAACTCTAACTGAAATCTTCTGAGTGAAGGCTGCATACTTTCTTAACTGTCTCCCTGTTTGGAAACCAAAGACAGAGCATTAATCTATGCATAACAATCACCAGACTGAAGGTACAATTTGGTGATGCATCTTTAGAAAAAGAAAACAAAAATAAAACTTAGAATAAGACTAATAGTTGGGGAGACACAACCAATTGGCATATGATAATCAGAGAACAACTGATAGTTCTATATAATTAAGTGCTGAATTATTTAGCAAGGATAAAGAAGCTCAGAAGAGATTTGGGCAGGTGCATTCAGGGAAGAGGAGGTGCATACCTAGGCCTCAGAAGACTTGGACGGTGAACAGCAGGTGGGAAACATTCCTAACAGAGGTAATGGAGAGAAGTACTTTGGTTATTTCTGTGAGGCAGGTAAAATAATACATTCTGAACCAAGCTGAGGAAATGAACTAGGTAAGAGAGAGAAATTGGGTAGATAAATTAGTTTTGACAAGATTAGAATTTTTTAAATGTTCTAAAAAACATTTAAAAAATATTTTACCCATACATCTACATAACTTTATAAATGCATAAATGTGGTAATATGTTAGGTTTGGAATATAGAGTGCATTTCTTTTTTCCTTTTTTTGTCTTTCTTCTCTTCATTTCCTCTTCTACCCAGCCATGTTAACCCACCCACTCATGTTAACAATCTAGTCTGTAGCTTTCTATATTTTTCCCTCCTGTTCAAGTAACCAGACTTTATAGTAGGATAAATCATAATTTCCATATTGCTGGGTATAAGTTTTTTTGTTGTTGTTTTGATACCAAGGTCAATAATGCAATATGCACCCTGACAGATAGGCCATTATTTATAACTGTGTTGTTTGGATAGACTTCTAAGAACTAGATTATTGGTTAAAATAGTTTAAATGCTTCACAGTTTCAAAACCATGTATGAAAGAAGGCTTTTCCCAATATCCCCTATAAAAATAGATATCACTGCTTCTTTCCATTTTTGCAAGTGTGAAAAACTTAACTGTATGCCATGTAATTTTGATTTACATATCCTTGATTACCAGAGAAAATATCTTTCCCATTTTAAATAATGTAATTCTTTTATTTTAGGATCTGATATTGTGATCTATACACACTCTACATGTTTCTCTTTCTCTCCATTTTGCTTTTATTTTATTTTTCTTCTTTTTGTCTGTTTTTCATCAGTCAGGAAAGCAGAATGAGAAATTCATTAAATATTAAGGAACCGGCATTTATTATAGGAATAAAAACTTCTGTAAAATTTTTTTTCCAAATGTTCAACCATTGTTTTACAATGAAACACCCCAAAGTTAGAAGCCTTAGAACTGGGCTTATATAACCATTTGCTTTCTATTATTAAGTAATTACAAAGATGTACTGTTTCTTCTGGTATAAAGCTTGCAAGGACTAAAAATATTTTTCCTGACTGAATTTGGCACATAGATTCCAAGTATATATTTGTT